GGCTGTTTCTCTTCTGAGCCCATCTTCCACCCCAAGTAAAGGAAGTTTCTGTATCCAGCCTCCTTCCTGTGATAATAAGGAGAGATGCATCACTCTGATGCATCACCCAGTCATCAGAGAGGATCTCCAACACTTGTGGTTTTCTCTTTGTTTTATCTGCGCTTAACCTCGACTTCCGAGTGAAGTTGTGCTCCAGCTTTTCCGGCGCTCAGCCCTTAGGCTCTCAACCTGGGAGTGTTAAGTGGGGTTGTGCTAAGGTGGCTTCTTCCTGAGTGGTGGTCCCCATCTCACCTACACCAATCATTCTCAGGTAGCTGGGGTGTTAGACCCTTTGTATTTGTTGTCCTTCCCTTAATCAGCTCTTCTTTACCCTAGAATGAGTAGAAACAGCTCAAAATTGGTGGCATGTGAATCGCTCTTGTCTAATTATCAGTCTGTTTCAGGTTTTCCCTTTTTCTTATAGTCTTTGGCTTATTTAAGCTAGTTTCTGGAAGAGGTATAATTAGATACCTAAGATGAAATAAAATGGTGAAGACTTAACTAGGAAATCAGGAATGGATCTTAAAGCTTATTTGAAATAACACCTCTCCTGCCAGCCTCACAACTGTGACTTGAGGATAAAATGAGATGGTAAATGTCAAAGGGGTTTGAATGCTGTTTGGAGCATTATGCAAATACTAAGTTACTTTGTTATCTTCACATTTTATGAGACCAGAAACCAGTAGCCTTGTTGGAAGCAAATTTGAGTTGTGAATTTTTAAAGGGTATGTGATAATGGAAGATGGCTATTTAGGTGAAACACAAAGCCATTCTATTTCGATGTGGTCCACCCCCTTCTTTCACACAGTACATCTGAAATAGAGGTTTGTCTTATTCTTTATCCCCCCAAAGAGAAGGCTGGCCTGAATTTCCTCTTTAGATGATTTCTTTGAGTGCCAGGAGATTGTTTCAGCCAAAGAAACTAATCTGCAGATAGGTCTGCCCCCCGCACAATGCCCAGCATCAGGGGCAAAGGCTTTAATTAAAATGGAAGAGTTGGTAATTTCTGGCCTATTTGGGAAGCTTAAAGTTGATGTGGTTTGAATGAAAGTAACGCCTTTTGCTTAAGTTGCAAATATTAATGCGTGAGCCAGGGACTGACTTTCGGTGCAAATGAGAGATTGTAATTTCTTTTTCATGGCTTTTCCCTTAAAGAAATGGCCCTTTTCTTCCCTGAAACTCTGTAATATATATATTTAACATGAAAGGTCCTTTTTTCTCCTTACATTTCCTTTCAGTTGGCAATTTGTCTTTTTAAACTCTTAAAAGCATTGCATATTTTAGGTATTGATAAATCTTTGAAAAAATCATGAGGACTTGTTTTTGTTCTTATTTATTTGGATGACATAAATGCATTTCAGAAGTAGCTTTCCCTCCAGTTTGGTTGTCTGGATGGCATTTATCCACTGTGCCTATAATCTTCATTTATATACAGGAAGTGGAATGACCACATTGTGAAGAGGACACATATTTACTGTGGCATTTGTATGTACCAAAATAAAGTTTTAAAAGTTAAAGTAATGTGTATTGCTCTTGGCCTAAGTAGGCTTATCTAATCACCAAGTATTGCAGTGAAAAAAACATAATGCATTTTGAATGTTGATAAGACATTAACAAGGGTAGATGGAAATGTGGTCAACTGTATCAGTATATGAACATATGAGTATAAGAGCATTCCAGATCAGTTTGCTTTTTACTAATCACAATTGTTATGAGTAGAAAGTAGACTTATTGAGGAATTACAGTGGCTTGAGCATTGTGAAGTTATTACTTTTATAGTAAGGGAAAATTTGTTGTAGAAATAAAGAATGAAAATCATCCATACTTTCTCTACTTTAATAAAACATGCTTGTTTTTATTTTTTCTTTCCACTTCTTACTGATATACTTACAAATATTTATATAATCTTAATTGCAGTATACAAGCAACTTTTGTTTTAGCATTTTTCATTCAACATGCATTATATAGAAAGCACTTTTTCAATTTCCAACTGAACATAAGGGCATCCAGTGGCTGCCTTAACCAGCCTCTTGTCCAACATGTAACTGCCTCCCCAATTTGCTGTTCCTAGTTAGGTCATGCTGCAATGAGCATGTTTGCTCAAATCTAAGTTTAACTTTTTGTGGGAAGGTTTTTGTTTGTTTGTTTGTTTGTTTGTTTCTAGAATAAATTGGAAGGAGTGAAGTTTCCATGCCAAATTTCAAGCAATTTCTGGTAGGTAAGGGGTTGAGAGGAGCCCGTTGGAGGAAGATGCTGCGGGTGACTCAGTGTGTTCCGCCTTGAGGGAGAGGTGAGAATGCCAGGAAGAAAGGAGAGGACTCACTAGACGAGCTACACCCAGATGTTGAAGGCCCCAGGGCCGAGGTGGGTGAGTTGTAGGGCACCTGGGAGCAATCTCCTAGCAACCTCTTTGTCCTTGTCAACCAACATCATTTGGAAGTGGCTTTGGGTTTCAATCAGTCTAACTGGATGGGTGTGACTCCACACTCCTGTCACTGAGAAGGGGACTGTCTTCTGGGTTTTTACATCCTGCCCTAAGTCAGGGTGGGCTTGTGGGCAGGGAAGGCATTGGGTCCAGCCCTGGCAGTCTGGGAAAAGCAGCAGGAAGACAGAGGCACTAGGGAAGCAGCTAAATGATGAACTAGAATGCCTCCACCGTCATTCCAGAAGGAGGTGGGATTTTCCAAAACTCTGTTTTTCTTCACCCATACACAGGGGCAAAGGCAGAACCTGGAGGGTAAATCGCTAATATGGCATCGATCCCAGCATCTCTCATCACTAATAGCTTCACAGCAGAACTTACCATATACTTCCCTTTTCTTTTCAGCTAATGGTTTCTTACTAGTTTTGTCCAACTGCAATTAAATAACCCAGTGAACTCTGCCTTTGCTGGAAAGAGTCTTTTTGAAAGAAATGTAATATTTTAGCAAAGAGCAGAAATCCAACCACAAAACAGGCCACATTATGAGACTTCCAATTTTGCCATGACTTTGAGCAGCTTGATGGTGTTAGGTACTGTGATCCATTCTTCTACGGTAACAAATGCAACATTGAAAGCCCACTTCAGCCACATTTGAGTTCACACTGGTATCGCTTTGTCTTTTCACTAATTACCTGTCTATTGTGCTTTTCCCCAGCCCAGTCTCTGTGGCCATAGTCAGCATCCTGTAGGTTTTTAAATGTTCTTTTTTCTTTTTTTTTGACTGTAGCTGTATCTTAACTTTTCCACTACCCCTTGCCTCCAAAAAACCAACAAAACTAGAAAATGTGTACAGATTTTAGTAATCAACATATTTCTCTGCCAAAAAACCTGTACTAGTCTGCACTGCATCATTCTCAAAAGCATGCAGAAGCTGAACAGTGCTGTTGAAATGATCTGGCACAAGTCCGCATAGGTCTCTATTTCACATCCTACCAATCTCGCAGGCAAACAGGACTCCAGATAACCCTTGATTACAACTTACAATGCAACCTAGAAATGGCTACAAATATATTTCAAAATCACACTTCAGTACTTTTACACATCAGTAATATCTTTGATGTCCCATTAGCACTTTTAAACCCATTTAAAGGCTTTGAAAGTGTTCAAGGACTGTTTAGAAGCATGTTTTTTAGAAGCACAGTAGAGGAATGAAAAAAGTGATAAAGAAGGAAAACCAGGCGGAGGGATTTACATCATATCCTGTAAACAAGCTGCAATTTGCTGTGTGTTCTCTGAAAATCACTTTGCCTTTGTGGCCAATCCATGAAGGCAAGCCATCACACAGGAGATTGGCTGGTCCCCAACTGTAAATAAAGGCAAAGTGGAACCAAGGCCTGGAGAAGAAGGAAATAAGCCCTGAGCAAAGGAAGGGGTTAGGGGATCGGAATTAGGTAACGATGGATTCAAGGAGAATTCACATCCTAGCACTGTAGATTCAGAGTTCAGGATTGGTGCCCTCACTGGTGAGACACGTTAAGCATTATGTGGATTGCAATTTTTCATATGCGCTGCCTCATTTGATTCTCACGGCAACCCTAATAAATATTATGTTCATTTTGTACACAGAGAAAATGAGACTCATTTTAGCTATAAACGAATTAGACTGACTTGCTCAGTATCATCCAGTCAGAGAGCAGCGGAGCTGTGCTTGGGTCCTGAACTTGTGACTGTTTGAGCTCTTTTCACTCAGCCATCCTCAGGTAGCAACTTAGAACTTAGAACTGCAGTGTTCTTTAAAGGGGAGGGAAGTTCAGGTGGGCTCTCAGTTGAGCAAAGGAGTAGAGGAAAGATGGAACTAGGGTACGATCAGTTTCTCCACGCCGGGCATGGACCCGTCAAAACAGGCAGAAACCCAGCATCCTGCTAATCCTGCGGGCAGTGGGGTTTTATTGTTTAACTGCTCTGCCTGCTTGCATGAAGTTTGGGCTCTGAGCAGTCCTCAGACTTGCATCTGATATCTTTTGTTTGCTCATGTTATCTGACTCTGGAAAATCTCTTTTGATAGCTTATTAATGAGGCTCCAACATGGGAGAACCAGATGAAGAGACTTCTGTTGGAGATGCTATGCATGCCAACTCCCAGGGGGCATTGTCTGTCCCCAGCTCCTTAGGGCAAGGCAGTGGGAGTACGGGACAAGGCAGGGCACCTAGCCTTCCAACACAGCCGATCCTTGTATTATCCGCTCTCTGACCTGTTCTTACATTGAGGACAATTAATATATTATTCATTCCCGGCTTAAACGTCCCAGTGCTTTTACCTTTCTTCTTTCCCTCTCTCTTCTAATTCTGAAATTATGTAGGCTTTATAACTGTGGGCAAGTCACTTAACCTATCTGAATCTTCACCCCACATAATTCTCAGGAGCATGTGGAAGTTTTTTTAATGAAAGTACTACTTTGCATTTGCAGTCACTGGCTATATTTCCGAGGATTTCAAATGCTTTCTCTTTCATAGTATCTGCTTCTGCTTTTCCTCCCCAGAGTCGAAAACATGCAAGCAAAGTCCGACTGTATTACATGCTTCACCCCAGGGATGGTGGGTGTCCTGCCAAGAGGCTCCGGTCAGAAAATGTGAGTATCTGGCACCATTTGATATCCTTAGATGACCTGTTCAGTTTGCTGAGAACTTTGTAGGCCTAAGAAGTAAAGTCTTGTCCACCTTAGCAGGAACGCTAAGGGAGTAGAAATAGTTCTCATTAAATACTACAGAAAATCTTACATGTAGGCAAGTCTTTTTCCTTTTTCCTGCCCAAACGTGCCAGTATGGTGTTGGGGGGGCTGCATGATGATTCTGTGCCAGAGCAGAGCAGAGAAAGAATGTACAGAGGGGACTGAGAGCAGCTGGGTGAGGGGAGGTAGGAGCCATCAGAAGAAAGAGTAGGAGAGACGGCCTAAGGAGAAACCGTGTCAGGAATATCAGATACTTTGCTGTTTACATATTTTCTTTTTCCTTTGGTGTATAAAACTAATGCCAGTTTATTCATTTATAATAAAGACTGTGCACATCTTGCAAATAAAAATACTCCGGGTTTTTGATCAGTGCCCCTCTCCCTGAGGTAACACTCACTTGGGAAGAAAATGACAATGAGGAAGTTGCTTTGAGGATGTAAAGTCAAAGCAAAGGGTTCACTTCAGCCAGGCCAAGGCAGGGACTGATAAAATAAATATTCCTTCCTCCCAGCAGGGGTTTCTTTTCCTAATGAGTGGAATATTCATATCCATCCATTGCAGAGGTCCTCTGCGATAAACACTGCAAGTTAAACAGAAATCACTTGTCCTTTGAGTTCTGAGGAGGCTGCAGGCGTAGAATCTATGCCCTACGCTCTCGCTTGTGCTTGTGATCCCTATCTCCTTCTGATGCCGGATAGATGCCGGTCTTCTTTTCTTATTAAAAATTAATATATGATCATTGAAGAAACTTGACAAGAATTGTGCTTGTGTATTCTTCACAGGAGAAAAAGAGAGAACAAGAGAACTGCTTATGATCACAGGTAGTGAGCATCAGGGCTGGTATTAATGAATTCCAAGCACAACTCTTACGTCACAAAACGAGCTGTTCATACACAGACTAATCTGGAACACTGTGGAATTGTCTTGACTGCCGTGGTGAGGCAGCATTAAGAGCACATTAGAGACAAAAGATGTCACGAAACCTTTTCAAGCCGCTGAGAAGTGGGACTGAGACGAGTTCTGTCAGCTCTTAGTCTTATGACCTTAGGCAAATAATTGATCTCCCTGAACCTGTTTCCTCAATGAGGCTATTGTAATCACACTTTCCTCACTGGGTTTTGTGAGGTGCACTGTTACATGCTAAATATTGAGGAAAGAAAGCCCAATAAGGCACAGACTTGCCTTAAAGAAACTCAGAGTCAAGTGAGGGACACAAATATTGTATAAAAAAATAGCTATAATCCCACAGTGTACGTGTTTATTTAACATTCTGCACAAAGCCCCATGGAGACAGAGGGCAAGTTGACCCATGCCAGGACGAGTCACTCAGGGATGATGTTACTGAGAGTTGGCATTTGAGCTGGGGGTCTTTGGGCTTGAATGGATTGTACCAGTGGGTGGAGGTGGGAGTGAGGGAGCAGACAGGTGCATTCTTGGGTGCATTCCTATCAAAAGAACTTATTAAGCCCCAGGAGAGTTGGCCTGAGCCAGCTTTTATGTAACTTCAGAATCCTGTAGCTATAGCGGAGTCCTGCTTTCCATTAGGTATCTATTAGCAGAGAGAAGAGAATTAGTTCCTGAAACCATCCAGCAATGATGCCCGTGTCCCTTCATTCAGTAGCCATTTCATGTCTTATCATAACAGTCAAAAACAATAGGGTTCATAGACAGTTGACAATTAGCTCTTTGAACACAGATTATTTTCTATCTACTCAAGCTCTAATCATGAGTATTGTACTTATGTCAGAACTCCTAGGGAGGGCTTGCGGGGCAGACAGAAAGGGGGCACTGAGACTCACACTGGTGTGGCTCGAGGACATGGTCTTGGCCATTCTGGTCAGACTCATGATTTACCCCACTCAGGCTCTGGTTCTGCCAGTAGCACTGGGGACAATTTATGGAGGAGAAGATGTTTGAATTTTTAGGGCAAGAAGTATTTGCAAAGATTCTTTACCAAAGAGCCCTTTGAGAACTTTTGCTTCTGGTGTATCCTGGAATCTATGTAACCTTGAAATTTATTTATTAAATCATTTTCTATAGCTTTCTATAATCATAGTATAAGGATAAATCAGTAATCAGGAAAAGAAACATAATGAACTGACTTTAAAAATTTTTTTAAAGGTTTTGTTTACTTAGAGAGGGAGAAAGAGAATCTCAGGCAGACTCTGTTCTGAGTGCAGAGCCCGACACAGGTCTCGATCTCATGACCCTGAGATCATGACCTGAGCTGAAATCAAGAGTTGGACACTTAACTGACTGAGCCACCCAGGCGCCCCCATAATGAACTTCTTTTTTTAAGATTTTTATTTATTTATTTGAGAGAGAGAGAATGAGAGAGAGAAAGCACATGAGATGGGGGGAGGGTCAGAGGGAGAAGCAGACTCCCTGCCGAGCAGGGAGCCCGATGTGGGACTCGATCCAGGGACTCCAGGATCATGACCTGAGCCGAAGGCAGTGGCTTAATGGTTGATGCTTTTATTAAGGTGTGTGTACATTTCATAGGTGAATACATCATTTACTTAGGCGTTTTGACATACCAGATACAGCATGGAAGCTACCCCAGTCCTTCACTAGGGCTGTGAAAGTTAATGTTGGTAATTATTTGGCCAACATTCTTTTGTATAGACCCATACCTAAGGATTGGAAAACAATATACGAATAGACAATGGCCAGCCATATATATATATAGAGAGAGAGAGAGAGAGAGAGAGAGAGAGAGAACTTTGATACACTTGAAACTAAGATAACATTGGGTTTCAACTATACTTTAACTAAAAAGAAATTAAAAATAAATGAATAAAAATAGAACTTTGACCCACAACCTATAGCAACCAGCCTTGGAAACCAACCCATTAATGTATAGTAACCAGCCCAGGAAGCCTGCCTAATTTAAACTTATAGGAAGTCAGACCACTATCTCTAGTAACAATCCAGGTAGGCAAACAATAACCCCTGAAACAATAGGCCCCAAATAGTCTGGACTTGATTAATACCTGATAGCTTTCCTAATTTTTGTCTCTGCTTCCAACTTGGAACCAACCAGAGAAAGCCAAATATGTACCCCTAACCAATCACATAGGGATGTGCACTTCTAGTTTGCCTACCTACAGCTTTCACACATGACCAGCCTCCAATCAGGGCACCCCTGAGGCCTCCCCTTTATCCTGTTACAAAGCTTTCCCATTTATCTTGCCTGTGAGTCTTATCCAAATGCCCGTGATGGTGGCTAACATCCTGGCTATGGGAAGCTCTGAATAAATAGCCTTTCTTTTTCTCATTTGGTTGGTCTTTATTTCCATGGGGTTGTAAAATGGGGATAAAAAGAATATCTAATGTACAGTTTTATCATAAGGTCCAAATGAGAGAACTCATTTATTCAGGACTTAGTTTTCAAAGGTCCTTCTCCAGGTTATTATTGGTCCCCTGTCCACCAATACCCTGTGTTCTTTGAAGAATGTAACACTCTGGTTCCACTTGCCTCCATTCTTGCCCATCCTCCCCACTGCTCTGCTTCCAGGGGCTGTGACAGGTTTGTAGCCCAGTCTTAACCTGACTGAGAACAGTTTCATGGCTGCCCTGAATACCCAACAAAGTGAGTGACTTCTGAAAACAGAGAAAACTTGTTGCTGAGTTTCCACGCCCTGACTATGCATGAACCTGGGGCCCACACTGATTCCTAAAACTGATGGGGCTGGTAAGTAACAGCAGCCGGTCCTCCCTCCCCAGTTCTTAGACTTCTGGGAATACACAGTAACTCCAAATTTACATCCAGATGAACGGAAGGGCCTATGATTATTCCCAAGGTCTACTGCCATTTCTACTCCAGGTCATTTGACTTTCTTGTTGTTTCTCAAAAACATAAAATTCATTTCTTCCGCCTCTTCTGGCATTCCCAGCTTTTTAAATTACCCCCTTTGTATGCTTTACTCTCTAGAACCCTCATCTGGATATTCTATGTTTTTTTTCCCCTGAAACTTTAGAGTGAGACATTTTCCTCCTGAGCCCACAGAGTAAAATTAAATGTGAAATAAATTGTTATACTTGATTGCCTTAGAGAAATTTTCTGTAATCTTGTGAGCATTAGAGCAAAAAGGACTTTAGAGACCATCTAGTCCATTGAAAGTGTCAGGTTTTCAAGTTACTTTTTAGTATCTTCTCACCTGCTTTGGGAAAAAGAAATATCTACTTAGGAAACAACATTTTTAAGTAAAAAGATGATTTAGTTTTATTTTTATTCTGTAAGGATAAGTAACTGCCAACAAAAATCACCAATCAGTATTAAGTAAATAGTGTTTTTACATGGAGTTAATTTCTCTAAATTGAGAAACTTGACATTTGGTTAGTGTGCTCAAGCTCATCACTTTTAAATACTTAAATGATTTCCTATAGGTCTGGAATATTCAGCAGAGCTGGAGAATCTCCAGGATCACTTTCATGGGTCCCTAAAATCCTGGGTTTCAGGCCTGGAGGACTCTATCTAACCTAACCCTATCTTGTGACAAAAGTGAAAATAAGGCCCAAAGAAGTACCGTGACTTGCCCAAACTGGTCAGGCCTGAGATTGAGACCCTCCTTGCTTCCCTAAGTTCTATTCCTATGCTTCTCCCACATATCTTGAAATTGTATCTTATATTTAGGCACTGAAGCCATTGCTGGGTCCAGAGCCAGAGAGCACTGCTGTTCTGGGGCAAAGTATTAATAGCTGGAGCTCAGCAGACACTTCCCACTTACAGTCTAAGTGCTTTACATACATTAACACATTTAATCCTCACTCCCGTGTAGGGTAGGAACTATCATTATCCCCACTTTACAGAAAAGCAAGCTGAAATAGAGAAATTAAGTCACTTGACTCTGGTTCCACCACTGGTAAGTGGCAGAGACAAGGCTGGGGAAATATGAAAC